AAACAGACGCAGGTGATGCAGACAAGAAACAGCTGGAGAAACAGACGGAGGTGATGCAGACAAGAAACAGCTGGAGGAGCATTTTGGAAACGGGTCACTAAGAAGACCGGGTATTAAAAAAAACCTGTAAGAGGCTGGAACTATTAAACGTAAAGACGGGCAGAGGTTCACCAGCTGTGACGATCTACGTCTAAAATCAATGGAAAACTGAGGAGCCGACATCTCCCTGTTATAATCTCAACAGATTAGAATAATCTGTAGAAATGTCTGAGCTCAAAGGTCGAGGCTGAAGGTCAACACTGGATGGTCGTGACCTTTGGGCCCTCAGGGGCCACCGCATCAAAACCAGGTCTGGTTCTGTTCTGGGCTCGAACTCTTCCACAGATCGTCTGTAAACACAGTTCATCCACACATGCTGCTTAAAGCTCTATCAGACAAACAAGAAGCCAGATGTGAACGCCATCCAGAACCGCTGCCGTCTTCTCTGGACCCGAGCTCGTTTCAAACGGACTGAGGTGAAGTCCAGAACTGTTCTGAGGTCAGAAACTTGTGTACAAGTACATGAAATTCAATCTGTAAACTACAGACTGTACTAAAGAGGGGAGGGACCGTCCACACTGTCGTCAGCTAACAGTTCACAAACCTGCCTCTCTGACGGTATGGGGGTACATTAATGCCTCAGGCATGCACAGAGTTTGATGTGTTTATTATGTTCCAATGTAAATAAAATCTGGGTTTATGAGGTTTGCAGTTCGTTGCAGTTTACACTTCCAAACTCTTTTTAGACCGTTAGCTCTGAATTGACTTATAACCGGTTAGCTGTGGCAGCCATCTTGTGTTGGGTTGACTCCAAAAATGAATCGGTGAACACTTTCTGAACGTTTTGTTGAAACTTGTCCTGCGGCTCGTGAGACATTTTGCACACAGACATGGTTAAAAACATTTTTTACCACTTTTCTGGGGATTGTTCTTAATTAATCACGACGTGGTGCAGCAGGTTTAAAGCATCGGTGTCCCTGAGCGAGTCCGTCAGGGTCAACGGCAGCACAATGACCTTGTGTGTGACCTTGTGTCTGACCTTGCGTCCTCTCCACTGCAGTGAGGTTTCCATATTTCGTGGATCTCGACAGACCTCAGGACGTGCTGAACCACACCTGCAACTTCTACCTCGGCACAGAGGAGGGCGTCTCGGTGGGAGTGTGGTAGGTCGTGTGCGACCACTGAAGTGCGTCAAAGTCCATCATGTCGGTGAACACAGGTGGCTCCGTGCTGACTGGACCCGCTCCAGAACCGGCTGCAGATAAGAACCCTGTTTGTTTGTGCCACTCACTCTTTGTTTGTCTCAAAGGCATACGCTCCCCGTCAGCCAATGGGAGGCAGCCGCTGGGAAAACCCTCGACTGGTACCACGAGTCCCTGGGAGACGGACGCCCTGTTATCATCTATCTCCATGGCAACGTAGGGACCAGGTGGGAGAAGAGCAGCAGGGTAGAGATCCTTAAACTGGTCCTGATGGGGTCTGCTGGGAATGACGAGCTTCAGTTTTTTGTTTCTCCAGGCAAAGATTGTTCGTAGGAACAAATGAGCGTGAAAACTTATCGCCCGGCGCCCGAAGGCGACGGTGGGGGTTCTTTTTATTTACCTGCGGGTGTGCCAACCAGATTCAACATGGCCGCCACAACAAACTGACCTTAAAAAACATTTACAGCTCACCAAGTTTAACAGATATTGTGTTTAAATTTGATGCGGTGGTAGTCCTAACATTTGAGGTCAAATCTGCACATCTGTTAGCAAAATATCTCATGACGCACTGAACATGTATCAATGAAACCCCCAGAATGTGACACCCGGGCGTAGATCTACTGCTGATTAACTTCTGGAGTCAGTGCAGTTGAACATGGCTGCCACAGCTAATTGGCACCAGCTGAAACAAAAGTGGCTTTAACTTAGTAAAATACTTAAATTGAGCTCAAATGTGATTCTGTAGTAGCCGAAGGTTTTTCTCTGAGCGTGACATCACAAAATGATTTTCCTGTTTGACCAGAGTTCCTCATTAATATGATCTTCATGTAAAACTGGTATGAAATGAGATGTTCCCTTCAGGGATTATTTTTAATCTCTGTGTGTTTTAAGTGACCGATGGGTTGTTGAATGTTTTCCAGGGCGATGAGTCACAGAGTAAACCTGGTGAAGGTACGAGTTGTTTTCTAAAACACAACAGAATTTCAGCGTTGACGTGTTTTGTAAATTTTCTTTGTAACATTTTAGATCCTGAGTGCTGCAGGACACCACGTCTTGTCTCTGGACTACAGAGGTAAGAAGATTCTGCCGATTCGAAAGTTATTCCAGCTCTAAATTTAAAATCTGGTTGTGATGTTAAAATCTTTGGGCTGGAAATAAAATCCTTTGTTTGTTTATCCAGAAACCAGATGTAACTTGGCTTCGTTTAATAAAGTACAGCCAAGAAAAACTTCCAGCTGCGTCTCAAAAAATTAGAATATTGTGTAAAAATGTAATATATGTCTCAGAAAGTGAAACTCGGATATTCCATGGATTCATCTTGGCTGTGGTAGATGTCCTGGATGGTGTGGAGACTGCTCCCAGTCAGGTCTGCTGGTTGTACCAGTGCTTTGTGACTGGTGCAGTTCCCACACCCCCCTGTGGTGCAGCCTAGCTCAGCAGGCTCATGGTGCACCTGTAGAAGTTGGTGAGGATGCTGGTGGTCGTACCAAACTTCCTTAAGGGTCGTGTAAGTTAAATTATAAATTTACGCTGCAGCAGTTGTTTTGAGTTGTCGTTTATTTTTCTGAGGTTTTGGAGATTCGACAGGAGAACCCAGTGAAGCTGGACTGACCAGTGACGCCCTCTACCTGTACCACTGGGCCAAGGCACAAAGCCAGGGGGGTCCTGTTTGTATCTGGGGGCACTCCCTGGGCTCTGGGTCAGTACGCTCAGATAGTTACTTAAAATAAAATAAAAACAGAAAAGAGAGAATAATGATGTTAAATATTCTGATTCATGCTCAATAATCCATAATCCAGGTAGAAAAATCTAACAAAGTCAGGTCCTCTGGACAGATGCAAAAAAATAATATATATATTTTTTTAAATGATAAAATGAATGAATGAATAAAAACGAAAATATATATATATTTATAAATGATAAAATAATAAATAAATAAAAAGACATAAAAACAAAAAAATCGTAAAAATAAAAACATTAAAAACAATTGTTTTTAAAAATGAAATAAAAAAAAGCATAAAAATGGAAATAAAAATAATTATATTGTACTATATCTACTATAAAAAAACCTATAAAAGGCAAATCATGACCTTTCATTTTAAAACTTTTATAAACTATAATATATATATTTTAATTTTAAAGTTTTTATTTTATTCTTATTTTCTGCGTGCGTCCAGAGGAGCCGTCTTTGTTAGAACGATGATAAATGTTTAAAGTGTTTTGTGTTTTTGTAGAGTGGGAACCAACGCTGCAGTAAAAATCCAAGAACAAGGTGAGTGTAAGTGGTTTGGCTGTGATCTATTTATTTATCTTCAGCCAGAAATTTAATTCTCTTTAGATTATTTAATTTACCTTTGGGATTAATAAAGTCTTTTTGAATGGAATAAACTCTCGTGGAAAATGCTCAGTCAAACCTTCTCCATGACACTAGAAAACAAAGGAGACTTTATTTCTAAACTATTTTGAGTTACAGCAAAATACTCTTTTCTTCAAAACATTGTCTTAAAATAAATCTCGTAAAACATTTATTTTGTCTTTAACCAAATTCAGCAGAACTTTAAAACCATGAAGGTCATAAAAGAAACTGAATACTCACATATACTAACATTGAAATCTTGTACCTAAAGTGTTTTAAACTGGTGACGTCTTTAATCCCAGGGTCCGTCATCGATGCTTTAATCCTCGAAGCTCCTTACACCAGAGTTGGAGAAGTCGTGATCAACCATCCACTCGCTAAGGTGAGAGCAGGACTTGCACGTTCTTCTAGGCGGCAGCTCTTTGGGTGATGAAATGAAGGAGCTAAACACAGAAAGCTTCGGCTGCGGTGGTAGAGGTGATCAGTGCCACAGGCGTGCAGCTCCGAAGCTGCAGGTTTGAGCCCAGGTTCTGTCAGGAAGACATGAGAACATCCAAAACACCACACCATCTTCTCTGGACGAAAGCTCCGACAAAGAAGACTCAGAACTGTGGAACAGCTAGAGTGCTCCATCAGACCGGAACAGGACAAGATTCCCTCAAAAACCTCCAACACCTGGTCTCTTCAGGTCCTCTAAAACCTCCAACATCTGGTCTCTTCAGGTCCTCTAAAACCTCCAACAACTGGTCTCTTCAGGTCCTCTAAAACCTCCAACAACTGGTCTCTTCAGGTCCTCTAAAACCTCCAACACCTGGTCTCTTCAGGTCCTCTAAAACCTCCAACATCTGGTCTCTTCAGGTCCTCTAAAACCTCCAACAACTGGTCTCTTCGGGTCCTCTAAAACCTCCAACAACTGGTCTCTTCGGGTCCTCTAAAACCTCCAACATCTGGTCTCCTCATGTCCTCTAAAACCTCCAACACCTGGTCTCTTCAGGTCCTCTAAAACCTCCAACACCTGGTCTCTTCAGGTCCTCTAAAACCTTCAACACCTGGTCTCTTCAGGTCCTCTAAAACCTCCAACACACCTGGTCTCTTCAGGTCCTCTAAAACCTCCAACACCTGGTCTCTTCAGGTCCTCTAAAACCTTCAACACCTGGTCTCTTCAGGTCCTCTAAAACCTCCAACACACCTGGTCTCTTCAGGTCCTCTAAAACCTCCAACACACCTGGTCT